GCATGAAGCAACGACTGCGGCTGGATAGATTGGGCTAACTTGGAGTTGGGAGGGTCAGCGAGCAATCACTTGGGAATCGACTCCTTGTGCGCGGTAGTTGAGGGTGTTAGGAACCTGAGAGCCATTGTATGGCTACCGCAATTTAATTGGAGGCAGTTTCTGAGGTGCCCAAGGCCGTTTCCTCGATGGATAATCAAGCGTAAGCGTGGAACTTCGGTATTTAAAAAAAAAAAAAAAAAGGCCGCCGGATATTTCTGGGGCCCACTTGAAGGAAGAATAATTTTTTGTCTTTTCTTCATTTATTTCTAAAGTTGGTGTTTAATTTTCTCGAGGGTGGCGTTTGTAATTATATTCCCTACGGAACATTCGTGTAGACTGTCTTCAAAATTCAAATATCAACTATTGTTTTGTTCTTCTGATGAATTTAAAAACAAAAAATTAAAGTGTGGTTTGATAGTCTTTAATTAATTATGAGATTATAGAGTTGAAAAAAATTGGCTATGGCTCAATTAATTTATCATCGTGCAAAATCGAAACAGTGCGGTACCCGTATCACGTACGAGCTAATAATATTAAGGGAAACATTTTGTATTGGACGATGAGATCATTGTTTCAAACATAAAACACATTAATTGAAATAAAACAAAATATTATTTATAAATAAACATTACAAAACATTTTTTGTTCGTTTTTGGCATTATACTAAAGATCGGCTTAGGCGGCTGCCAAGGCACTAGACGCTTCCCGACTGCTTTCGATTTACATAAATCGGCTGAAAAATTCGGTCAGATTATTAGGCGAGCCTAGGCGGCTTGGCGGTCTCGGCGGCGCTAGGGCAAACCTAGGCGGGCTCGTCGGTAATTTTTTAATTTTTTTAATTTTTGTTTTTTTAAATACTAATTACATTATTTTGTGATCATGTTTTCTTTGTAATATAATAATATCATTATTTAGAGTTAGGGTGTTGGTTTATTATAAATTGAGATAGATTTATTTTGTAGATAGTAAAAATAAATAAAAAATAAGTTGAGATAACTTTATTATGAGTATTCCTTATATAACTTTTTGCATGTGTATTCTAGAAAGAATCTAATTATCTTCTTAAATCAAAGATAATCTTAACGTACACCATCCATCTACATTCGATCATTCAATTTTCGTTCTTATTTTTCTAATTTAATGGATCATGATAGACATGGACACGGGCCTACTCGGCCCGTCAGCCTGGCCCGGGCCGCCCGAGACCTTGGCCATGCAAGTCGGTTTCGAATTTGTTCTTTTTTGGTCCTGGTGGGCCATGTCGGGCCGGGTCGAGCCGCGGGTTACAAGACTGGTGGCGTGTGTATTTTTT